GCAGCAACCTGCTGCTTCTTGTGACAGATGCCACCTGCGACTGCAGCATCTTCCCACCTGTCCTGCTGGATGCGAAAGAAGTCAAATATATCCTTCTGCTGTGTGCTTTTGGGCTCAGGGCTGGTGAGGGTGGAAAACCTGCTCCCCTGGCAGTTCCCATGGGGAAAAGTGTGGAGTGCACAGCCTGCCTGTGGGATAGCAGGAGGCAGGGAAACAGAACAGTGTGGTGGAGAGAGCAGCACTGCTGCTGGGCCTCCTGCATACATTTCTGCCATTCCCAGCCATTGGCCATTCCTCGTCTTCTTCTAGCTCCTGGAGGCCTCCCAACCCACGCCCCTGCAACATGCTGGGAGGCTGCTGCCCTTCCCCGACCTACCCTGCTCAGACCAAGGCCATGCAGAAGCACCCATAGGTTTGCACCCCGTTGCTGTGTGCTGCAATTGTGCCTCGTCTCAATGCCCATGTCCTTAACAGCCCTGCACACAACGCATCGGTGAAGTGCGACCGCATGCGCTCCCAGAAGCTGAGGCGGCGACCAGACACGTGCCACGCGTTTCACCCCGAGGTATGGCTGTGGGTATACCCTGAGGTATGACTGAACAACCCCAGCTCCCTCAGCCTCATCATAACACTTGTGCTCCAGACCCCTCACGGCTCCATTGCCCTTCTCTGAGCACACTCCAGGGCCTCAATGTCCTCCTTGCACTGAGGGGACAGAACTGAACACAGTTCAGCCGACCGTGTGTCCTGGGAGCCACAGGGCTCTGCCAGGCAGATCTTGCCTTAGGATGGGGAAGGGGATGCACTTGAGGTGCAGCCCCACCAGCGCTGAGTGCAGAGGGATGATCGTCTCCCTGCTCCTGCGGGCTGCACTGTTTCTGATACAAGCCAGAATGCCACTGGCTGCCTTGGTTACCTGGGCACATTGCTGGCTCATGTTCAGCTGCTGTCAACCACCATCATAAAATCAGAATTGTAGCGGTTGGAAGGGACCTCTAGAGATCATGTAGTCCAATGCCCCTGGCAAAGCAGGCTCCTGTGCAGATTTCCAGCCACTCTGCTCCATGCCTGTAGGATTGCGTGGGGTTGATGTGACCAAAGTGCAGGAGCTGGCACTCGGCATTGCTGAATCTGATACAGTTGACCTCAGCCCAGCGATCCAGACTGTCCAGATCCCTCTGTAGGTCCTTCCTACCCTGAGGGTGGGCTTTGTGCATCCCACTGGCTGTGGCTCCCCAGTAGGCTTCCTCATGGGGAGAGAACATACTGGGGATGGGCTCCCTTTCCTCCCCCAGTGCCAGCAGGGCCCGCTAAATGCCTTCTTTTCATCCTCCAGGAGAACGCCCAGGACTGTGGTGGTGCTTCTGAGCTCTCAGTCTCCCCCATGCTGCTCCTCCTGCCCCCAGCGCTGCTCGTGCGGTGACACTGCTCCCAGTGGGGACGCGGCGAGGGACAAACTGCCGACCCTGTGGGGACATCCTGGTGACACCGGGGATGGCGGTGTGCCCTGGGAGCCACAGGGCTCTGCCAGGCTGATCTTGCCTTAGGAGAGTGGGCACGTGGGAGACCCTGCCTTGTAGGAGAGGCTGGGGTTTTGAGCCAGTACTGGGCCATTGGGGTCCTCAGTAGTGAAGCAACTTCTCCTGGTCTTGCGATGGTCATCAGCCAGGACCCTGGGCTCAGGACGTGGCTCTGGCCCTGAATTGCACTGACTGCCTGCAGGCAGACCACAGTAGGCAGCTCGGCTTTGCCAGGCAGCTGCACCTCGCTGAGAACCTGCTCCAAGCACTGCCAGCACAATGCTCAGATGCCTCTACAGGTGTGGGTGTGCGTGCGGGAAGGGGCTGCATGTTGCTCACCAAGGAGAGGCTCCTTTCCTTGGGGCAATGCTGCCCTGAGGCTGCCCGTGGCTGTCTGGGACCCTGGGCCTGAGCTTGGCCAGCAGGCACAGGCTGCTTCTCACAGAGCTTTATGAACAAGGGGTGGGGAGCATCCATCTTTCATCTCTTTTTGTATGAACTGCTCCATACCATCTCATTAAAAAGAATATATATGGCATATTTTAAATAGATATTTAAGCTTTGTCGTGTCGTGTTTGATGCTCATCGTGGCCCTACAGAAACCCCTCTCCCTGCTGAACCCATGGGGACGGGCACAGGTGGAGGCCATAGGAAGGAGACAGCGTGCCCAGATACCCACAGGTGTGCTCCAGGGAGTAATAGGGTCAGGGGGTGCTGCCCCTCATAGCGCCGGGTCTTTTGGGGGATGTAGTGGCTGGGTTTGCTAAACCAGAGGCAGTAAAGAGGAGAGAATCGTTCACTGGGAGTGGATCAATCTCTGGAGGTGGATACGTTTTCCCTCCTGCACATCCAGTGACCTTATCAGAGTCAGGCACAGCCAAGGAAGGTAAAGTGAGCGCAGAGGGAAAAGGGGCTCTGTCGGGATGCAGAGCTCAGGCAGTCCCCAGGGCTCAGAGCTGCTGCCCCCAGCACGGCTGCCCTTGCTGTCAGAAGTGATTAATGGCCCCAGCACCGTTCCGCTTGGAGAAGACGTGTGCGCATGCACTTGGCTGATTTCCAGCGCATTAATCCACAGCAAACACACCCTCATGAACAGACCTGTACTGGAGGAGGAATTATGTCCAGCTCTCCACTCCTTCAGCCACCAGCTGGCAGAAGCAAGGAGAGCTGAGGACAGACGCTTACCGGCAGCTGTGCAGCACCATACTGATCTGGCTCAACTCACAGCTGAGGATCCTCCAAGGTCCTGTCCACCCCTGTAAGCAAACTGCAGGCACTGGGCTTTTTAAAATTAAAATTCAAAAGGAGGAAATTCCCTGAGTGCCTCTACCACTTCTGGATGGTGTGGCTGACACCCCAGCTTGAGTCACACTGCTGTGGGCCAACAGGTGTAGCCAGGCAGGGCTGATTTCACACACAGAAAAACAGGAAAATCAGCCCAACAGCACATCAGCTGCTTGCAGTCTGAGAGAGCTCACTCAGAGACCCAGCTGTCCCGCAGGGGCTCACCTCACAGGGATGATGGGCTTGATCCAACAGAGCCCAGCCCCAGCCAACCACAAGGCCAACCTCCAGAGTTGTGTGCAGGTTCAGCACGGCTGCAGACGAACACAGAAGGTATCTCCCGGGTCTGGTTTGGGTGTAATTTGCCTCTGTTAGGGAAACACATCAGTGCTCTGGGAACCCAGCCAGGCATATGATTTTCTCATCTCATTTGCAACTGGAGCAGCTCAGCTTTTATGCCAGCTGCTAAGAGCCTCCGTGCCCAGTTGCTCTGTGCCAGAGCTGAAGCTGCTAAAAAAAAAATGAGATCAACTTGAAATGTTGCTGCAAACATCTCTGAGCTCAGAGGCAGCAGCAGCTCCGGTGTTCCACTACAAGTGTTAACAGAGGAAAGAGCAGTGAAGTGAAGCTCTCCGAGGTGGCTCTGGAGTGCCAGAACTGAGCTGAGCAGGCGCAGCCCTGCAGGTGCACGCAGGATAGCCTGGTAAGCTCACAGACCGCAGGCCTCCTTCCTGGGGGAGAACAAGGTCCTCAGGTGATGCTGGGCAAAGGATTCCCTCGTGTGCTCTTTCTGTGCTGCCGTAGTGCTCGATGATGACCATGGTGACACACTCAATGTTGCCACGGGGCTGCTATGCCTCCTCCATATATAGCAGTTTGCACCTTGGGATCTTCTCCAAGGAGCTGCTTTTTTAAGGGACTGTCTGAAAGCATATCAGCTGGTGCTCAGCATTTCTGGAAATCAGCCTTGAGAAGTGAGGCTGGAGCACTCGAAGCAAACATAGAAGTGCCGACCAGCAGGAGAGTTTGGCTCAGTGCTTGATGGCACACAGCAGGCGAGAGAAAAAAAAGAGAGGGAACTCGGCTTTGCTAATAGCTTCAACCAAAACAAACTCAGCTCCTTCGTACTAATCACACACCAGATTTATTTCCAGCTGCTTTTAAAAAGTTAGGCAGTGGCCCTAGAGGTTCACCTTGATTGCAGCACTTCAATCTGTACCCACGACCTTGGTGACGTTGGCAAAGAACGAAGAGATTTTAGAGGGAGGACCAAGCACAGCCCCAGCCACGTGCAGATGCAGCAGGGTGCAAAGCTTCAGAGTGCCCAGGCAGCTTTTAAGTATCATTCCAGTATCTGAAAACACAATAAACCCAACTCACATTGGCATGCGGTAGCTCTTTTTAGTGTAACTTGTGTAATCTAATGCTGGAGTTCTCTGTGCTCCCTGCATTTGCTTTGCATTTGAAAAAAAGAAAAAAAAAAAATCCATCCTGAGCCATCTAGCTGACATGGGTTATTATTTACTGGCGCTGGCTCTCTTACGAGGCTGTATCTGAAGAATGGGAACTGATAAACAGCACAGCTGTAGGTGCCCAGACTGAGTCTGAACCAACACGGGAGGAGGAGGTGCATCTCACTGAGGCGGCTCACAGATGTTTGCTGACAGCTGCACAGCAGAGATGAAGGAGCAGCAGGCTCTATTCCAGGCATGGAGCTGCTCTGGTCGGCCGCAGCCCTGCTCTCTCCCCAGCTTAATGCGACTCCATCCCACCCCACCAGCCCATGTCTGCTTAGCAGGAGACACCCATCCCCTGCGTGGGTAAGAGCTAGGAAGCATTTCTTCCACACCAGTAATTCCAATCCAGCCTTCCTAGAGAGCCCTTCCAAGCTGAAAAACCCACACCAGCCAATGACTCCAGTACCCATCCTCTTCCTGCCCCGCTCCCCTTCTTCTGACTCCCCATCCCTCCCACCCCTTTTCCTTCCCACAAGCTCTCAGCACCTTCAACCTCCCACTGCTGCCCCCAACCACCAACCCCGCTCCCTCCACCCAGTTTGGTTCTTGGCCAGTTTGGTCCAGTCCCTTGTCTGCCAGTTCAAGGGGCACAGAGTGATAGAGGTGGACTGGGAAGAAAGCCACCCTGATTCTGAAGTGTCACACCCAGCCCAGAAGGACCCAAGCCAGACAGACAACATTCCATTTGGTTCTTTTATTAGCAGAAGTTAAGAATACAGCAAGTAGTAAGATCCCACCTTATATGGAACCATCACCAGAGTCCCCAACCATCAAAACCCTAGAATGTGCTTCATTGCTTTCAACAGTAAGCAATTTGTAAAAAGAAATATACTGAACAAGGCCACTATTTAATGGGGAAGGAAAGAAGCTGTAGGTCCTAACTATTCTATGGCAATAACCTGCACACAGAGCAAGCAAGCCTCTGACTGCTGAGAGTAAGGCATTCAGGTGCCAACCTGGGAAGAGTTCTCAGCAAGAGCTACAGAAAAGTGCACAGCTAGGTTGCTTTTATTGGAACACACAAACTTCTTGAAGGGAGAGACTGACCGGGTAAGAATAGCAGGTGAGTACTGTGTTTCTGTAGTAGTTCTGTGCTGTGTAGGACCAGGTTACAATCACCCTTCAAGGAGCGAACGTGGGATGATGCAGGATGGAGACTGCCACTCCTGCTGGTTCTGGTACAGAGGCATCCCAAAGCACCCTTCAGATAAGTCTGATGCTGATATGTTCTATTCTTTCCTCAGCCACCAGCCTACTTCCTGCTAGGCACCTCTTTGTCGGGGTGCCAGTGCTGCGAGCCCTTACACCCACTTAATACTGCTTTGTTTCATTTCACTACCACACAGCCCCACGATAAGCTTCCTCTGGGCCCACTGGCATCCAGCATAGTGACCCTACTGAGAACACGTCCCCCTAGGCTCACAGAGGGCTGCAGCAGCACCTCCTCCTGCAGCTGGCCCTGCACTCGGGGCTTTACAAAGACTCCAGCCCAGTGGTGAAGCCTCACTACCCAGCCAACTTTAGGAAGGCTCTCTGCTTCCATCTGACTCCAGCAGACAAAGCAACTTCCCAAAACACAATTGGTGACACTGGGCATGCTGGAACATCTTCACAATCCACATTTTTTTCCCTTGAAGGATGAAAATTAAAACTTGCAGAAGCCAAAAAACAAAACAAAAAAAAAAACAACAACCCAAGAAAACTACAAAACCAACCTTCTACCTTCCTTCTCTGTGAACTACAGCATTTTATGAGCTGTTGAACTCATCTGTTGGAGGTAATTGCTCTGAATTTCCAACTAAACACTCCAAGCAGTGCTTGTGCCATAACAAACAAAGCGTTCAGGTTTCATCTTACAACTCCAAAGATTCTCCTCCAGTCTGGCTTCTGCCTGGGCTCCAGAGATCAAGCTACGTCAATTAAGCAAGAGAAGAGTATATGCCTCCCTTTATATAGGAACTGTGTCTGCTCCACAGCAATTCAGCTGAACTCTTAGTTTCAGGTTTAAGCAATACCAGCAGTCCCATTACTAAAGCACAGATGGGAAGCAGACCTAAGGAAAAAGAAAAAATATAAAATAAAATGGAGCTGCAGTGGGTCAAGTGTGGATTTTTTCCTCCTAAAAAGGAAAACCTGCAACCCCCCTTGGCGTATGGAGCCTGACACATGAGAAGGTAACATGCTGGAGGCCTGCAGTAACTGTTAACTCCAAGCCCTGGAGCACACAACTTCCTCTTTCCAGTCTACCCTAACCCCACCTCTGTTTCCCCTCACATGCTCAACTACCTTTTGACAAGTGCACGACCACCATGCACTCACACTCAGACAAAACAGCGCAGGCCCTCCACTGGCAACTCAGCAGGGGCCCCTGTGTATAGGCAGGCACTGATGGGGTCAGACTTCCCACCAGTTCACGTGCAGTGATGCCACCCGGCTCCAATTCAGATGCTGAGAACCCAAACAGCTCGCTGTGAGATCCAAAGCCACGCAGGCCAGGCAGGCTTGGAAGGCAGTTGTCCCATGCACTTGGGCATGGTGCAGACTTACCTTTCGAGCTACGCGACTGGAACTTGCTAACACTGTGAGCTGGATGTCAGCTCGATGACTGCAGCCTTCCCAGCTATCTGTGCACATGTACTGAACCCGCCCCAAGCCCTGGCCAGGACCCTGCATTGCCCAGGGCATGCTGACCATCAGGAAAACCTGCACGGCCAACATGATTCACTCCTGGGAATTTTACCTGGTCCTTCTGCAATCATTTATTTTTGTGCAAAATTGAAACAGTGTGTGGTACTTGCATGTTGCATTCTTTACAAAACCCTTCCCCTCCCTCCCCACCCGTTGTTTAAAACATTTATATAAATTTTATTTAAACAGAAAGTTAGAAATCTTATTTACAATTTCTTTTTCTCCCAAAAGAGCATCTAAAATCGACTCCCAACCCCTCCAAGAGGATATAAATTTAACCTCGATTTTTTTTTTTATTTTTTTCTTAAAAAAAGGAAACTGCTAAGCTAGCCCTCCCCACTTCTACAAATAAATATGGCATTGAACAGAAGCCGATTTGGAAAGGGTCCTCTGTAGCTCAATCTGTAGATCCCAAGAATAAGTTAGGGTTTCGGAATTTCCTGGTCTTCAAATTGATTTATTCCATTGCTTGAGGTATAGAATTTATCTCGGTTAGTCAGAATCCCCGTGAAGCTCCACGCTCCATCAGCTGAAACTTGGATTCTTCTTAGGTATTCATTTTGCTAGCCTGTAGGCTTCAGCCACCCCTGCTGCACTGTGTTGCTTATGATCTCAGACTGAAGCCTGGTCTTACTGCATCCCCTCCTCTTCTGTGCAGCCTCCTCCTACTGTGAAGCGGAACTCCTGGAGGTTGGAAACCCCATGGAAATGCACAAAAGCACCAGCCACTACAAAGACGTGGAACAGCTGATGGGAGTGGAACTGTGAAGACAAAACACTTGCATTCAGCTGGGTACTTCCTGGGCCACCCCATCCCCAAAAAAGCCACACATTCAGCTGAAGCACACGGTAACATGGAGCAGTACCTCAAACTGCAAGCTGCAAAGTTCAGTTGTGTATTAAACTCATCCCTCTGCTACCATTAGCAAAGGGCAAATTCCCCACACGTGCAACCCCACACCCCGTCCTCCACAGTGATCTTAACCAGCTGATCGATCTACAAGCACACGACATAAATAAGCATCATCTCTGTTAAGGGGCAGGGAGAATTTCAAAGTTCAGGGCAAAAGTCTTAAAAAAGCATACTTAGAATTAGGTCCTCAACCACACACGCTGCTGGTTTATTGGTAGAACACAACTATCTCATGCAGCTAGTGGCTACAGGTCTCTGCTCTGGTTACAGGTATAAGTTTTACTGAGTAGATTTTCAGAACGTAGCTATTTTATTTCTGTCACAAAGAAACAGAGCAGAAAAAAACACTATGTTAAAATGTTGAAACAACCAGATGTTCTCAATGAACACTCAGGATGCTGTTGATTATGGTACTACAGAATGAAAACCAGGAGGTGGGTACGTGACAAAGCATGGCCTTGTTTTGGGAAGCCATATTAATATGGGTGATGCTCATGAAAAGGTCTATAAATGCATATTTGTGGGCTCCATGGGAAGCCTGGAAAGGAGCTGGTGGTACACCAATGCTTCTGGAGCCTCTCACATTATCACAAAGTTTAATTTGGCCACTTAAACAATACTATGTCTCTGATGTTTACACCTGGCAAACTGGTGCTGTGCAAAAGCCACTCAGACAACCCAGGCCTGACCCCTTCTAATCCTCTTTAGGGACATTAAACCTCTCTAATGGAAGTACAGCAACACTGCATCTCTCTCAGAGGTCTATCTCCCTCTAATCTCTACTTTGGCTCCAGTTTTTCCCTCTGCATCTTCCCCACAGATCTCTACTCCACAAGTCTTTGTGATCCTCACCCCGAGTTTCCACCCGACCAACTTGCCTACCACCACCTTCCCTTCTTCTGGGCTAGGGATCCCTCATAAATGTATCAATTCTATCCAGTGTTTCCACTGCCTTCACAAGATAAGAAGGCAGACATGGTGAAGATATGAAAGAAAGGGTTGCAAAGTTTCTCACCTACCTATTAAAAGCTACTTAGTACACATGATGGGGTGAATTAGCACACCAGCAGATATGGCAGACCAGCTAACCTGCGATAACTCAGCAAGAAAGGCACAAGGCAAGCTGGGCTCAGAGAGCTCTTTGGCCCCTTAAGAGGTACAGGTCTGATTCAGAAGTTTAGTATTTGCAGTAAAAACCACTGACACAACATCCTCCAGCCTTAAGGGAAACCAGCTTTCATGTTGGTCTCTTCATCCAGTCATTGTGTAGACTCACCCAGATGTCACACTTGCCAGGGAAGAATCTCTCCGGGATGCGGGCAGCATACAGTGCAGCACCAGTGATGTACAGGCATGCCATGAGTGCCAGCCAGCCTATCTGCCCCATTGTGGCTGCTTTCAGGAGCCCCTCAGAGATGACAAAGTGCAGGGTGGGAATAACCCCACTAAGACCCAGACCTAGAAATACTCCTGGCAGGTAAAGAAAATGTGGGAGAGTCAGGTTTGAGTACACTGGCAGAGAAAGGAGACAATAACAACAACAACAAAATACAAAAACAATGGCAGAAAAACTCAGTATTTGCCAGAGCAGCAGAAAGGTGACAACTCTTGAAGCTGGGTAACTGTAATGGGGAGACTTTAATAGGGAGAAGGGGAGGGATGTTAAATAAGGCACAAATTTCCTTCAAGTAACAGAAGCTACTTCATTGTATGTTCCAGCACATAGTGGAATTTTTCATTTTAACAATCCTGTATGCTAAAGTTGGCAGACATTACACCAGTTACACATCTGGGACTGTAGAGGGCACTGAGACTACGTGAATTATGTCACGCTGTATCACAGTCTCTCAAGAGTGGGGCAACAAGGAGAAACAACAAAGACATTTAACATATTCACTGCAAGGAAACAAATGTAATATCTGAGGCTCATCTGCCACACGTGAGAATGCGGTGGTTTACTCAGATTTCAGAAGTACTGAAATCTTGGAGGAAAAAAAACGTGGGAAGGATAGAAGGAAATAATCACATCCTATCCATAGATTTTAAGTTTGGAAGGCTGAACTCTCAAAGGTACCTCGATAGCTCGTCCAGGAAATCTGGATTTACTGTAGATGGCATGCTCAGGTTAAGTAACAGAAGGACTAACATTCACCCCATCTGTGTTTGTAGTCCACAGCTGCCCACTGCAGGTCTCTATTACTTCCTACCTCAGAACACAAAACCAAGCTCATTTTCATTCCTTCAATATATGAAGGAGAACAACTAGGCTCTTTGCCTTAAACAAGTATTTTATCTAGGCAAATCACTCAGCTTAATTCAATCATTCAGTGATTTGCTAGCCTGGTGTTACAGAGACAAAACAAAAAGCTGCATACACAGACACACACCAAGCAGCCAGCCATTTTGAGCAAAGTCGCTAGGTACAGCTAGAGATACTTTGTACTGCCATTCTTACTGCATGTGTTACTGCCCATTTCAGGAATGTACTTCCAGGACACCAGCCCTCATCTGTGCATCCAGCTGGCTATAAGCAATGCTGAAAGAAAATCCATCAAGTTCACAGTCCAAGGCTATTAGCTTTCTCTAAAACTGAGCTCTCTCTACGCCTCCTCAAGACAGCTCCTCCAAGTGCCACGTAGGAAGGAAGGAAGGCAGACGAGAAGCAAAATAATTGATTTCAGGTCTTACCTGCCCTCACACCCCGGTATTGAGGGGTTGCAAACATGTCCCACTGTGAGACAATTATGGCTGCGATGCCCAGGACACAAATCACAATCAAGTAGATGAAGCAAGGCTGAGGGTTGCAGTAGAACGAATAGTACAGCCATGGTACAAAGCTGCCCATTATGAGAAGTGCAATGCCAGAATAATCCAGCCTAGAAGGAAACAAAAATCAGTTTGGTGGGAAATGCAAACATTAATACACTTCTCAAACAGACCAACAGACTACCTTTCACTGAAGTTTTCCCCCTCTACTTCAACTTACTTTCTGACCACAGCTCCTCCACCAGTGCATTCCTACAGTAATGTGTTATCTTCATAGCACGCAAGGTCAGTTCTGGACAGTCACCAGCAACATACTGAGCAGCCTTTAGATCAAGGTCTTTTCAAGGAAACTCAGATTTAAGCTTTGGATAAGGAAAAAAGCAGCACAAAGTGCTATGAACACAAAGAAGGGCACACAGCGTGTTGAGAGAGCACAGCCAACACAAACTCTTTAGAACCTGACAAGTATGAGTTAGGCATCAGCTAAGTGACCACTGGGGAATAGCGTCGTAATTTTTCAGCCAAGCTGTTTTTCTAGACACCAATGAAGAAAGGAATTCCCACAGCCACTGCTTTTCACCACACCCTGCCAAAGTGTTCCTAGCAGAGAAGATGGAGTTAATTCTTTGGTAGGGGATTTTAATTGCTGAGTTACCCTAAAGGTGGTCTTGCAGATTACATAATCCCAGGTTGAGTAATCTTAAGAAACATGAGATGCTTAGCAGAATGCACGGCAAAACCAAACTTGATACACAGAGCTGTCTTACATAAGAGTAAAGATTCAGTTACCAGAATAATTAAATGACAAATAGTGACAGTAGCATTCAAAAAAGAGTTCTACCACCAAGCTCTAGGTATAGTACTTGCAGCAGCAAGATGCATTCACACACCTGCTGAACAACATAAAAGGAAACAGTTCTAAGCCTAAAACAAAACAAAAGCCCCTGGTGAAACAAACAACGATTAGAAGAAGCTGCAGTGAATCAATCTCTGCTCAGTTCTGTTCCAAAACATACAGAGCACTCATGCAGTGAACCACTCCTACACTGGGGCGCCAGGCACGAATTCCAGTCCTGTTTTCCCAACTGTTTCCTATTTGGCTTACCCTGCCCTCTAGGCACTTACTTGGAGAAGAGCCGGGAAACACCTTCTGAGTGGCAATAAACCGTGTGGAAGAGCCATGAGAAGGAGAGGCAGAGGATAGCTCCCAAGAAGAACAATCCAACAACCACTTTCTCCTGCACAGGTGCTACAAAGGACATGTTTGGCCGGAACATGTAGAAGATTCCCAGACACAGGAAGAACACACATCCTGACAAGCCATAAAGCAAGAAAGGTGTCAATTTTGTGCAAACAAAAACTTTTCTTTCAAATAGCATGGCTTTAATGTGCAGATGTAATAAGCAGAGGAATTGCACGGTAACTAGCGGCACACGTGCAGAATAAACGTCTTCCATACTTCAGTTGCACTTTTCAAGCAGGTTTTTGTTTCAGCCTGAAGCATTTCAGACTTGCACAGACTCTGTATTTTTACTCATTTTGCAAGAATCCTGACAACAACAACAACAAATTTGTATATAATTATAGAATCTTGTATAGGAGAGAGTATAGTTCAAAGAGCTTGCAAGCTGAAAACCACTGATACAAGCTGCAGTTCCCAAGGCAAAAAAAAAAAAAATCTTAATACTTACACACTTGGGAATAATGACTATTTAGTGGTAATTTATTAATGATCAGGAAATTATTAGTTCATGCAGTGGAGTGCCATAATTAAGGACATCCCAATCAACCTCAGTGGGAGAAAACAAGGAGAGGGACACCAAGCTAATTTAACAGGTCACTATTGGAATGATTATGCTGATCACTCCACACCAACTTCTCAACTAAAGAAAGCTACAAACCTAACCAGCATTAGAGCAAACTGAACGTACCTAGAAGATGTGTCCAGATGTTACCAGTCTCTGTGTGTATTCTGAAGATACTCTTGAAACAAGCCCGGAAGGAAGGCATGGGTGGTCTGTGTCCATGCAACAGGTAGTCGTTGTCCTTTAGCCAGTCAGGCAGAACATCATGGGGAATGACTCTCCATCGGCCCTCCCATACCTACAGTTTAGAAGGTTTTGATTAAGTACAGGAAACTTGACTTCAATAAGGTATGGCAAATGTCAGAAAACCCTCATTAGTGGAAGTGTTAACCTACGGGTGTAATAAGTAGAAAAGGGTTTAATGGGATGTCTCTGGGGAAAAGACACACTCTTGAAGTGCAATACTTGAGTCACTCTTCCCTATTCAAAACATTATCATTATGAAGTTTAGCTGCCTCTCCAGAAAAATGAGTGCTTCAATATTTCATTACACAAGATAGATACTGTACTTTTTGTTTGTTTTACTGCTAATTAAGGGAGAGCATTTAATTCATTTCCATGTCCGTTTATGCAGATTTCCACAGATCTTTCCTATTTAATTGAAGGCAACTTTTTCTCTCCAATAAAAATCCTTTCTGCCAACCACAAGACAACCTGAGCATAACATCTGCTAGCATTTAGAGGCAATCTAGTAAAAAGGCTGCTCATCAGCACTACAATAGGCAAGAAAACATGAAATGGCAAGAGTCCAGTAAGAGGTGTTCGACCCCCTATCCAGACTGGAAAAAGATCTCCCACATTCCCAGAACAAAGTGACAGATTTGTTAGGCCAACAGATTCACGACTGTCAATGCCATTGGATTTCTTCTTTAAAGAAGCTACTCTTGTAGCTGGTTCCCAATGAAAAAAAATAATACATATAGCTGTTCTTAGCATTCTCCAGTGTTGTAAGATACAGGTCGTCTTCAGTTTAGCTTGTGAACTGCTGCTTCTGAAGCAGAGGGGTATCAGGAAGTGCTTTATGTACCGGGGCTGTTTCTGCAGCGTTCGTTGCATTTGAAGTCTGCTTAGTAATACAGGAGCGAAACTGGAGAATCCTGCAACACTAAGTTTAGAAAGCTACATTCTTATTTCAGTTTCAACATCAAAAGTTTTCAAAATTCATTCTCCTTGCTCCTCCACAAAAGGAAAATTATTATAATCAGAATAACCATCCCAGTTAAAGACCAGATGCTTAAATATATTTAGCAAGACCAATTAATTTTAGTCAATGAAACGAAGGTTTAAGTCAAGGTAGGAACGAGATTTTACAGAATTCACCTTTCAAAGCATCTAAAAAGTAGAAAAGATGCATCACAAAAAAGAAAAAAAAAAAAACAACCACAAGCAACTCAGGTTCCTCTGTAAAAATAACAAGGAATAGTTCATAAAACCAGCAGGAACAAACATACAGAGGGACAGCATGCGTCTCACCCAAGAAAAGGGGTCCAAGGCCGATACTGCCTACACCCCGTGGCTTAATAAATAACAGAAATCGAGCCAAGGTCAGCAATTACAAAATCTACAATGGATTTAGTTGGATAACTTTTAATGCATTCTTGTTTTCTATTTGAGTCAGGGACAAAGCTTGTTCTACAATGTATGCAAAGGGTGTCAGGAAAGCAAAATATCTGTGAGTCTGAAAAAGCCCCAAAAAAATAAAAACATCCTTGTAAATGAAAGTACCTTAAGAGGAAAAACACTGGAAGCAGAAGGCTTTGATTCTGCTTTGTACACACAAGTGTTTCTCAAAAAAGGTTTCTCAGTTGCTTGATCACCTTTTGAGTCTTTTATAATCCTTACTGTTCCATATTTCACAATTTTATTTATGACAAACTGAGATCCCAAGAAGCTGTAACATTCCTAGTTATAACAAGAGACACCCATTCAGGGGATGCTATGTACCTGCTCTTCCTCTTCCTACAGGCATAGTCTGTTGTCCAATGGAACTTCCTGAAGAAGGAAATCACTTTGGCAGTTTCCACATGCTCTTACCTTACACACGAATTCTTCCATTCTCTCCATGGCATGATGGGCTTGTAGAAGAGGTGACATACCCATAAACCCTTCATCTTCTTGAGGTGACTCATCATTGTGGTTATTATCCTCAGAACTCTGGGTTGGAGAGAAAAAAATAGTTTTGTAAGAAGGTGAACAGAGAAAGGAGTTTTTTCCACACAAAACTGTGATTATCTGAGGTGTTGGCAAACAAGCAGTCTTCTATCCTTGTACTGTACTGAGGAAGGAATTCGAACCAACCAGCCAAAAAATTATTACATTCTCAGATATCTGAGAACAACTCACATGCCTGATTCATTTTGCACATGCTTTCACCAGGTTTGGAAGTGCTCCTGGAAGTGCTCCTCTTTAAGCTATGCTTCATTAAAGTCCCGATACAGAGCCTCAGGCTTGCAGCCTACTCTCCTCTAGGGAAGAATTACTACCTGTTTTATGATTCAGTGCCACCATGTATGCTTTAATGCCACTATAACATATCTGGCATTTTAAAATAATAAAAGCAATACAGGGAAAGAAATCTATTTACCTTGTTATAAGGCTCAATTTTTAGTTTGAATCTGAATATCTATTCTGTTTAAAGGTCGTTTAGTCATCAGTTGAAAGTTCAAGGCACTCCAAGAATCAGTACGCAACTTCTTTTAGTTGGACAAAAGCACATTAATCAAATAAAAGCAGTAACTGCCATCAAAGCCTTAAGCAAGATTAAGAGAGAAATATCCATCATCCACATCCCCAGTAGAAGCCAAAAGAATTGTGAGAACAAACAAACAAAACTACTGAGCCTGGGCAGTCAGTTGATACTTGTCACTAATAAATACATAGGGAAAAGTTAGTAGGTTTGGTAGTTTTCTACCCTGTGCTCACTTCACGAGCACCATCTCCATGTCACAGCGCACTATAGTTTTTCATTTTAGGGGAAGAAAAAGGGGCAGATGGAGAAACAAGAAGAGCTTTACAAGTTCGTTTACTCACTACAATGCTCATAGCCCAGAGACTCCATTCAATACTCCAGATTCCAAGATAAACAAGCTTGAGAAAGCTAAAGAGGGGAGAATGAATCTTCTGTATGGCTCAAGCTTGACGTAGGAAGCTGCCTCATCTCATGACCAAGTCAAGAAAAGCCCCACAAGAAAGCCAGGATGATGACTGGCCTCCTCAATACCACAAGCTACAACACATTCTCCTTTTTCTCATACCGAGATCAGTGTTTAGTTATCACTGATTCAGTCTAAAGTGACTGGGAATCTAGCATATAACTTTCTGTAATTCATTCATGAATTAGTACCAGTAATGTTCAAGTCAGTGTCCTAGGTTTTGAGTAAAGAAGGAAGATCTTGCTGTGCAGATCACACGTTACAACTCTCCTTCGGGTAAGGCCTTCATCATTAGTCCCATCAACAAGTAAACTGAACAAGCTGCTTAAATGTTTTGTTTTTTAAATAAATACAAGGAGTTTTTATAGATTTGAAGAACGTTCACCTAGATGCCCCAACTTTATTTCACTCTGGCCTCCCAAGGAAGGAATGACACATTAGTGCTTGTTCATCCACCCAATGTGTGCAGTTGCCATTAGAAGTTGCCTTTTTTCAAAGGTCCCCCTCACCACATCATCCTCAACCCAATTTCGTTCATCCACAACACAGTTCTCTGCTATCCAATGCACAGTATGCACCCTTTGCACACTATGTATGACCTCACATTCACCTACAATAGAACAATTCAATTGACTGAAATCTTCTCACATAACTCATATCTCTTGTAGGGTTTACTCACCTTCATTTACCATTCCAGTCTACAGCACCTCTGAACAAGTCTGGACAGCAACTGCTTATTTTATATCAAATGTTTGATACAAGTATTGATTGCCTACAGGCAAATCTTAGAGCAGCATTAGATACACTCTCACAGCCTCAATTTCCCATTCATTCCAATGAAAAAGGCTTCAGGCAATGTAATTGTAAATAGGTTTAAAATTATTCTAAAATAGGTATGTGTTCTGTTGGTCTGGAAAGTGCTATAATAAAAAAATTGTTTCATTCTGACTCAACAAAATTCACAGACATTTCCCTCACTGTTAGTTTTACTGACCTTCTCTACTAATGGATCTCTCTCCTGTTAGGCTTCTCAGTTTCCAATATTATAAATAATTCAGTGAAGGTCTAGAAGAGATGCTCATTATGAGAGCCTGCAGAATCTTAGAAAATCTCAGAAAAATCTAGGGCTCTTCAGACTAGGGAAGGGAAAGCTCAAGGAAACATTATAGCAGCCTTCCAGTAGCTGAAGAGGGCCTGCAGAAAACCTGGGGAGGAAATTTTTATAGGGGCAGGTAGCGACAGGATGAAAGGAAATGGTTTTAAACTGAAAGGGGGTAGACTTCAACAAGTTATCAGGAAGAAATCTTTACTGTGAGGGTGGTGAGACACTGGAACAGGCTGCCCAGTGAGGCTTGGATGCCCTCTCCCTGGAAGCATTCAAGGCCAGGCTGGATGGAGCTTTGAGCAACCTGGTCTAGAGGGAGGTGTCCCTGCCTATAGCAGGGGGGTTGGAATTAGATGATCTTAAAGGTCCCTTCCAATCCAAAGCATTCAGTGATTCTACAAAACTAAAGAAATCTTGAGATTCCAAGGACATGCCTTACAGAAAAGCAAGGCTGGTATGTAAGAAGTACTGCTACAACTTTAACCTACCCTACAATTCTCTCCCCCAGCAGCATATAAGGACCAGCTGGAATGGGGTGATCAAGTTAGTAATCATCAGTTTACAAAACCAGGCAGACTGAAGGAAAAATGTCCCTTCCCTTACTGAATCAAAGCCCATATTCATTGCAGTCTGTCCAGTGACTCAAAGCCAAAAAAACGTTCATTTCCCCCTCTCCACATACTCCCATTTCTAGAATGATGGGAAGGCTTAATTTGAACAGACTGTAAAGCTCGAAGAGCACAGTTATTTATGAACTAGTCCAAAATCTTTGCATTTTGGCAATGTGCCTACAAACAAATCTTTAGTGAGCTTTTTAGTGATAAAAAGGAATTCATATCATATATATATATATATATATATACACACACGCATATATATACACAAACACAGTCCAGATTACTGCCAGAAAATGGAATTGATTTTACTATCTCCTTCCTGCCCATTAAGCTGCAAAATTAGCGTTCAAGGAAAAAACTAAAGCTCTGCTTCTTAGTCCTTTTTTCTGCATAAGGAAGAAAAATGAGGTCTGTTCTGGAATATCTGTCCTCTCTCAACTCCTTCACCCCATGTTCTATTAGAAAGGACAGTAAACTGCTTTTTGGAAGCTAGAAATGTATATCTGGAGTGCAACAACAACACCAGTTTTCATTTGGAAATCTGTAGGAGACTACTGACCTTCAACTCTTCAGATAATGACTGAACAAAAACCACACCTTTCTGTTCAGAAGGCACATGGTAAACCATCCAGTGTGATAAGCTCCTCTGTCTTCAGATTCCAAGATTTTCTCTTCTTTGGCTGACCATATAAAAAATACAACATAAACAAGCATGCGCTTCAGGACCCTTTCTCTACTATTTCCAAATTCTGCCACAGAATCACATTCTAAAACTGGAGAAAACAATGGGCAAACAATCCCTCTTGCTCAACGCCTTGCAAAAACAAAAAACAAAACAAACCCAAAAAAACAAGAGTCCCAAATAAAACTGTTTTTAGTGCAATACGGTACATCCTGAACCAAGTACTTCCAGGACTGTTTTTGCCTTGTACTTTCCAGATTACTGGCTAAGAAGATTTCTATTTGACTAACATTTCAGATGTTCTTATTTATTCTGCATTGCCTAACTCATTCAACTTTTCTTGCAAGAGTGATCTCAAGTTTTCAACACTGAAACTGAAGACTCTGAAGCCTTTAAGGCATTTGGAAATGTTTGATTTTGAAATAAAAACCCTCCTCAATCACTTGTAACAAGCAAGCTTGTCGCAATTGCCAGCTGTCATTCTCCTGCTGTACAGAGTAGCAATGCCTAGAATCAGTCTTTCACGCAAACCAGAAATCGTGGTTTCTGAATACTTAAGATTCCACACTACACTTAAGCATCTGGATGTTTATGTCTATGGAAATGTTGAACAATATCACCTTTGCAGATTCGTAAAGGATTAAACTACAGGCAAACAGTATCCACTGTTACGTCAATTATGTAACAGAAGCATAAATGCATCCCGAGTTCAGTTGTACCAGAGGATAAGCTAAACCTGAAGGCACAAGTGACAACGGTTGGAAAAAAAAGGTTTCACTGGTTCATCCTCACGCACTTCATTTTGGGAAGTCTTCCAGCTTCTTTCGTGATAGCAGTGACAGACAAGAAGGCAAAAGTGAGAGGTAAGAAACAGACTTGAGTATACCACTTTGTTTGGAGTTCTGGCCAACGCACATCCAGAGACAGACCATCTTCAAAACAAGAATTTCAGAGTCTATTTTGGTAAGGAAGGAAAAAGCTTAATGCCAAAACCAAGACATAGAATACGAGCAAATAAGAGCAAGAAACCTCTCAGAGTCCAATTACCCTCATGAAGTTAGTTTATCTTCACATTAAATCTCATCATTTTATAGCAACAGCAGAGAACTTTTTAAAAAAGTTTACGTGAAGTACAAAAGTCTGTTGTCTGAACACCATCCAAAAAGAAAAAAATAAAATAAGAATCAGATCACATAGCCAAAGACCTTGCTACAGACAAAACCACAGCAAAACCTGCTCTGACAAAAATCAATAAACTTCTTGGCTACTACAGCTCACCCTTCTCATAGAGAGGGTAACAATTTTTATTCTGCCCCCCTTGTATCTGTCAGCAGATCATAGAATCCCTAGAGTTCAAAGGGACTTTTAAAGGCCACCTAGTCAACTCCCCTGCAACGACCAGGGACATCACAGCTAGATTAGGTTGCCCAGGGCCAGATCCAGCCTCACCTTGAATCAGATGCCCCTATTTGTTGATACAGTCCCCATGGGAAAGTCTGCCAGAAGCCAAGCTCCAAGAGCAGAAGAATATTCCAGAAACCCCTTACCTGCTTTTGAGAAAGATGGGTTCTGCAGACTGCAAGTAACGAAAGTACAGA